TTCGTAGAACGCCACGACTGATGTAAATATAGCAAGTTGTGTTTTTTTCATTTTTTCTCTCATTCTTTCATTAGTAAAATGTAACTGAGAAGTCGAATAATCTGTTAAAATCTATTTTTCCGTTAACCACCTGTCGCTTTCCTGCGAACGACAATTCTCAGAAGTCGAAATTCGTGCGAGCTGAGGATTAACGAGGTCTCACCTTTTAACGTGCGATTCCTAGCATGAGTTTGATTTCTGCCTAATATCTGTAGGTTTACATTCTTCATTGTATTTCCTTGTCTTGCTATTGTTTCTTCATTGATGAGTTCTTGAAGTGCTTTCTTTTTTGTTTAATTATCGATTTACCTCATATATTTTCACACCATTTCTGTAAAATTTGAGTTTCCGCACTTTCGCCCAAGCACAAATTTCACACGTAAAAAGTCGATGATGATTTCGATCGGCAAATTTTGTGAGAGAAGCTGGAACCACCCAATGCTAAGTCTTGCTTCGTAATGTCGTCTTTTCTGATGACACAACATTTTTGTTTGAATGTTGACGTCAATAAACGAATTTGCCGTCACCGGGAGGTTTAAAATCCTCATTGGGTGATGGCAACAAATGCATAGTACCTCCAAAAACGTAGCTCGTAAGTTAAGAGTTTTTGAATTATGTATTCTATAATACTTTTTCAACGGTATCCATTGTCCCCCAGACAATGCGCAAACAGGCCTTTGGCTTTCTTTTTTTCCATTGTTAGATCATGTGGAAAACTTTTAGAGCAGAGATTCCCAAAGCTTTAAAAAGCGCACAAATTAATTCGCAGGTAGTGGTTCCACTAGTTAATTACCGAAAAATCAATTAGGATAATCATCATTTAACAAACAAAGTCCACATCGGACTAAAAATCTTTAGGTATATAAACAGCTAACCCTTGTCTTTATATTCAGTATCAATTTGCTTCTCCTGAAGATGCTAACCTTGTTAGCGAAACGCGCGTCTAGTGCAAAAATATCAGTTTGGTGTTGGGGTAATTGATCTCTAGAAAAATAGAAAAAGTTTTCAAAAATCGGTTTGCAAAACCACTCATTACCTCTCCTAACCCCACGAACACACGGCACTGATAAAGAAATATTGTGAAACGGACAAAAAATTTGTATTCAGCCAGTCCAGCTAGCCGTCAACTACATTTGATAGCACGTTTACTAACTATCTGGGCAACTAGGGGCCACAGGCAAGAAATGTTTATGACTGTATTCTTATTTTTATTGCCGTTTCAATTGGGAATGGATAGACTATACAGTGATATTTTTGAAACAACTACCGCCATCTCTAGGTCAAGCTAGGTATTTCTGGTATACCAAACAGCTCAGATAGATGATTTCAGCAATCGCAAAACATCTTTCAATCTGAATCGATCACATATTTTGTTTTTCTTGAAAACCGTAATTCTTGTGACAAAGTTATTTATCGGGTTTGTTGGCCGTTATCCGCAGGTTTAACGAGAGACGTTTCGTCTGTAAATACGGTACACAATATCAAAGGCGATGAAGCAAACGCAGGGAGTCAAATCAGGTGATGTTGGTGGCCACCAAACTGTTGGATTACAGTTATTGTTGGACTACGAACTGTTTGGCCTGTTCTTAGCCAGGAAAGTTAACGGTGTGACGTGTTATCCGATAGGAGTTTCGAAAAATAAAATCTATTTTTCCTTCTACTAGAGATTACGATTTCGAAAAATAATACATGGTGAAATAAGAAAGATAGCGGCATCAGTCATTGGACAACAAGTCATGATGGTTAAACCTCTGCAGAAGCTAGCCACTCGCGGCAGCGAAACGTCAGGAAGAAATTCCAAAAATCCACTGCTTTCAAACTCGAAAAACAAAGACACTGGAAGAGTGTGGTATTTTATTTTTGAATTGAATAATACTCGAGGTACGGCTGTTTGAGAGGTTTTAAAATGAAATCTTTGGAAATATGTAACACGTCGTATTCATGATTGAACTCTCTTCTGCTAAAAGTTTCTTTGCAAATGGGGAATTGGTCTTTGTATTCACAAAACTACTTCTGTGCTCTTTAATTATTTGGGAAAATGTTCTCTCTGTTTGGCCAATATATACTCCTGATCTCTGATGGTTAACTGATTGATTGTTATGTAACCAAATTCAATGAAGCGAGTCTTTATTCAAGAATAAATGCTGTACCTATATAATAATTATTTGGGATGCTGAATGTTCGATTATTTCTCGGTATTTATTCATAAAATGGGACATTTTTAATGAGTGATTTTTTTGTTACAGCCCGGAAACATCCTACTTCTGAATTCAGCCGACATTCTCTTGTGAAACCCAAGATATATCATGGAAGGGAAAAGAGACAAATTGCGACAACGCGGGAAGAGGTGAGTTTTGTTATGTTCGATACATACAACACAAAATCACATGGAATTCTTCGTAGTGAAGACCCTGTAGACAACTGACACACTGCCATAGGGCTGCCTGAAGTTTAGTCAAACTTGGCTATGATGTATAAAATAAGATGGGCACATTCTTTGATAAACCTTCCACAGCATATACACCAAGAAAACAATTTATTTGTATTCAAGAAATGTCACTAATAGGGTGATTTTATAGAGGTTTATAGAGGTATAGAACTTAAGTTGGCAACACTATTTTAACTGGCGGCCATTTTGTCAGCTGTCAAGTGAGTTTGACATTTCAACATGAATAGACTGGCGCCTGAACAGCGCTTCCAGTTTGTTTTTCTCAAATAAAACGTTCAACATTTAATTTCTCAATAACGAATGAACCAATTTAGAAAAAAATTACAGAAGTAATAGAGGGACAAAATACCTTTCAAATGATGTATCACTCGACCCCCCGTGCCATTGACAAAAATAGGTGGGGTAGTTGCTGACCGCAGGGGGGTGAAGTTTCAGGTATGATTTCCATATCAGGGAGGGGGGTCAAGTTTTCGCTGGAAAGCTCTTTATATTTGCGAAACTGAATATTATGTCTACAAACACTAGCAATACAAGCGTGGTTCTTGTTTGTGAAAATTATTATTCGACTCGAAATTGCAGGTTTATTTTTAGCACAATAGCAAAATAAACATTCATTGTGAAGATGTTTTATACTCTAGATTCATTGGGGAATTTTGAACGAAAGAAATTTGTGAAATTGTTAATTGAATTAGAGCGAATTTGTTGGCGATAATTGCCAATTAATTTCTCCTTATAGACTAATTTCATCCCACTCAATTGACGATTAAATGAGTATTGATTGGCACGTTTACGGTACTCTAATTGTGTGTATGGAATTTCCACGAAATATTTTGTCATATACAGGCGACGTAAAAATAGATGTTATGATTTTCTGTCATTCCAAGTTCAGTCGATGAAATGCGTATATATACTACCTTCAAAAGAGAGCTGTTGAAGTTTCATAATATTCTACTCATAAGTTTGTGAGTAAATGTACTGAGAGTGTTATTTTCAAAACAATGGATCAAAAACAATTTCGTGTAATTTTACACTGCTTCTTGATGGAAAAAAATACTATTCAAGCGAAGCAATGGCTTGAGAAGTGTTATACGGATTTCGCTCCATCAAAAACAACAATTAATTATCCGGTCAAATTAGACTAAAAAATAAGAGTAAAGGTACCTGAATTTACAACAAGCTGCAAATGCGTGTAATTGTTCAAAACATAGTTAAAAATAAGATTTTAAAGTTCCGAATGATTGCGATGCCTGTAAAAAAAATTATTCGAGGTCAAAGATCAGCAATCTCGAAAAAATTCGGTTTTTCGCGATTTTCAGGAAAACGGTAAGGTTTATCATAAAATAGCCTCAAATAAAAATTGTAGACCATAAAATTCTCTACAAAAAATGTATCTTTTTTTCTTAGAGCCACCGTTTCTGAGATACGACGAGTCAAAAAGTTGTAAAAGTTATAATCGTCATTATATGCATAAGTATGCCACATATATACATCTCTAAAGTTGTAATTGAAGTAAAAATATTTTTCTATGGGTATACATAAGTATAAATATAAGAATATCAGGTAGAATGAAATCCAGTCCCTTAATTTGTACGCTAGTGTAACCTTGAGCAACATCTTCATCTTCCGATATTCTATTTGATGAACTTATGACAGTTCCTACCAGTCAACAGAAATTTCTTGCAAATACTAACAACAAATCTCGGTTCATTTCAATGTTGAAGGATAAGTTTATTGGCGAAAATATATTGGTTAAACAGGCTAATAATGATGCCGACGTACTGATTATTGAAACAGCTATAGAGCAATTTAATTTGACAAATACAACTATTGTTATTGCTGAAGATGTAGACTTACTCGTACTTCTTACTGCTCGAACTCCACCTGAAAAAACTATTTTCTTTCTAAATCCAGGAAAAGCTCAAAGTCAAACCGATATATAATCGTCAAAAAGTTCATCTACTTTTGCAAATAGTCAAAATCATGTACTATTTTTACACGCAATAACTGGCTGTGATACGACGCCTGCATTTTACAGGAGGGGTAAAGCAACAGTCTTTAAAATGCTTGAAAAACAAGATTTAGTTCAATGTGCTGAAGTTTTTAAAAAAAGTAATTCGACTCAACAAGAAATTATCACCAACGGGATTCAGTTTCTTCATTCTATGTACAAAGCTCCGAAAAAAACCACCTGCTCTGTTTTCCGTTAACCACCTGTCGCACCCCTACGAACAGCAACCCTCAGAAATCGAAACTTGTGCGAGCTAAGGATTAACGAGGTGTTACCTTTTAACGTGTAATCGTTCAGACTGGGCCTTGAACCACCGACCAACACGGCAGTCAATCGATAAAGTCTTAATTGTTAGTTATTGTCGTTTTCTTACTCCTCAAAAATATTACTTCAGAATATTTCACATTTGAATTAAAGAAAACACAAGAACACTATTGAACTATTACTTTCAATTTATATTTAAAGATTTGAATTTAAAATCGAGCTCGTTAGTAGACGTTCAACTCAAATTCCAATAAATTAATTGATAAGTATTTCTGTGAACGCAAAAAATCTCTTTGTATTTCAAAGAAAATATGATAACAAAAACCACGGCATCCTGTATGTCTGTGAATTAAAAGTCATTAGGTTGATAATAAATATTTTATCGGTGTTGTTTGGTCTTTTCTTATGGAGTTTCCCATTTCATGATTCATAAAAATGCCATAACTTATATTAAGGATCTGTCTAATGGGGAAAATCCATTTTTTCGAAAGGTGCCTATCAATTAAGGAACTCCTTTAAATCATTATCAGTTCAACTAGAGGCAGGCTCAAAAGAAACTATGAATGCACAATATGTATAGCCTATATGAAGTCAATCCGCTAAATAAAAGACCTATGCACTGGGTCTGATGAATTTACTAGTTAATACCATATAACACCTCCCTCATAAAAATGATTAGATTAAATAATTATACCACGCCGCCCATGCCACACAAAAAACCTGCCGACGTTCGGTAACTATTTAGTTTTTATGCCATTCGAATTGACTTCGTTTGTACCATACATACCGAGCAACATCTAAATTAATAGCAAATTGCCAAAAACGACTCTCCTCGATAGTCACAAGGGAGCCCAAGCGGGGATTTCAGGATTTACTAAAGCGCGGCAGATTATTATACAGGGGGATACATCGTATTTGGTTAAGTACCTTCACCAAATATGAGCCTCATAAATAAGGCCGCCCGTGAAGAATAAAGGATCAGATTAGTAAAAAAAATTGATCATCAGAAATTCTCTAGCGCGTCAGATTAAGGTAGGGTGAGTTAATTACATGCTAAAAAGTGTATATTCCGGTAATCTGACAATTTGAGGGTGACGTAAAGAAAGGGAAGGACAGCAAAGTTGTAAAAAAATAACGTCATTTCAACATTCTCGAGCGGAGCTAATTTTTTTTTTATTTTGAAGGAAATAATTCAAGGATAACGAAAAATATACAATCTGACGATTTTTGCCAACCTGAAATAACAAAAGTTCATCGATAAAGTTTAATGCGTGCAGCTGTGTGATACCTATATTTCCCTCTCCGCGTTTCTATTCCTCTTCCACTTCTTCTCTATCTATTACTCTCTCACTCCGTCCCCACTCTGAATTCTGTTGCCATAACGCCATCACAGTTGATCACAGGGACTCGTTCGTGATGAAGATGAAAATTAATTAATCAATTGATTACAAAAAATTAAATTTTTTTTGATCAACTTTTTTTAATTATTTTCTTATAAATACAAGTATTCTACTCAAAAAACATACACTTATTTATTTGCATGCTATTTCCTGAGCTTTTCAATTGATTAAGTTCAATGAGTCAAAAGAAATAAAAAAAATATTGTTTTTGTCAGATTAAGCGAATCCCTCTAGATAATCGTCAGATTATGAGACAGCACGTCTAAAACATAAAGATGAACCAGATATATCTTAATCTGACGCGCTTGAGTATTTCAAAATGGCGAATTTTTTTGCGCATTGAAATGATGGCCGCGAGTTTGCGTCAAATCGAAATCGTCAGATTATTGAATGAAGCTTTTTTTTGGTGCACTTAACACCCCCTTAGAAAATCTGACGCGCTCGATGACGCTCGTCAAAGTTTTTCTGACAGATTTTGGTAGAGATAAAGAACTCATAGAGACCACGTATCGTATTGTATTGTATTATTATATTGTATTGTGTATTGCGACATCAACAAATAAACTGCGTTCAATATAAGCTACTATTCATGTATTATTTTGTTCATTGTTCATGATTCCATTCCATGATTCTTGGAATATTTCATAAATGTGTTTGTTTTTTCAGAGTGGAGAACACACAAATCACTTACAGATTACTTTGGAGGTAGACGGAAAAGATGTCATCTTGGATCTAACCTTGAATAAGCATTTGCTCCCCAAGGGATTCTTCCACAATTACCAACAGAATGGACAATACAAAATCCACCAACCTAGTGTTCAGGTAATTATACGTACACTAATATAAGGTCTTTTTTAAAGCGCTTCCTAATTGCCTTAGATCATTTTGCACAAAATCCAACGATGCAGCAAGAACCTTCAAACCATAGACCTAAACAACCTAGACGTGCTAGATTATTCCAAAAATAAATTCCAAGAATAAAAACATCTGTATCAGCGCTGTATTTCACTGCGTGAAATACAGAGTGGTCCAACAAAAAGTATGCACCTTGCTTTTCTCCTTTTTTTGTAACTTAACGCAAAAATGCTCAGACAGGTCAATTTTGCTTTTGAGGGGGACACATTTTAGATGTATTTTTCTACCTGTGCCTTCAACCCCCTAGCGAGGGTGAGTAACAACCCTAAAATTTTAAATGGAAAGT